GGGGGGGGGGAGGGGTTCAGGAGAAGCAGCTGTCCATCCTAAATGTAATTGGCATGTGAAAGAAAGATGCCCCCCCCCCGTGCGGTCACTGACACTGCCCACACGGAGCATAAGCTGGGTAGATCTGCGCAGCTGTTGAAGCGGATTGGCTCACCCCTGTTCATGACAGGGTGCAAAGTTCAGTTCAGTGTATTTGTCATATATTAAAGCACCAATTAAAGGAATCACCAAAAAACGTAAACGCAGAGCAGCAGCAGCAGCAACAACAACAAGTTAAATTGCATACAACTTAAAAAAAGTCAGACAAGCAGTGTGAGAGAAAAGCCAGTGGTGGGGTAGAGTTCAGTCATCTGACAGCTTGTGGGAAGAAACTGTCTCTGAACGTGGAAGTTTGTGCCTTTATGCTCCTATAACTCTTACCAGGGAGAAAAGTGAGGAACCAGGATGACTGGTGTCCTTAGTGATACTTCCAGCCTTCCCGAGACAGGGAGTTGTAAAAATGTCCACAAGAGAGGGGAGCTGTACTGCAGTGATGGACTGGGCTGACCTGACCACCTCCTGTAACGCCTTCCTGTCAGACAGCGAGCACTGCCACTGCACTGTAATTCCACATGTCAGCACACTCTCAATAACGCACCTGCAAAATGTGGTCAGGACAGCCAGAGATAGACCAGAACAGGTCACGGTTAATTCCGTGCTGAAAGGTAAAGAAAAAAAAACGCCACGTTTCGGCTGTGGAGCCTTCTTCAGACGACACACTAATCCAACCCTTACCTGTTCTTTTGTAGGCTGCTCACGCTGACGCAGCTGCCCTCTGCAATATGTGCACTGTTCTGCCATCACCGATGTGTTTGTTTGCTGTTTTTTAGGTCTGTCTTTATATTTTGAAGACGGTCACGATGACTTGGATGACTGTAAGTTTTTCTATTTGACTTCTTCGTATTCACTCTTGAATATTTCCATTTCACTGCGTTAAAACAAATCCCTGTCTCCTGTCTGCAGTGCTCCTGTGTTCAGTTTGATCAAAATGACCTGCCTGATGGAACAGGTTTGCAGGCTTTCTAATGTTGTTCAAACCAAGCAATGATTTTCAGTGCAAATAAATGTTTGTGTGGACAATAACAGCTGAGCCACAATTGGAAGGAAGTATTTACTGAATTCCAGTAGGTTTTATTCCTGGCAGGACTTTTATAGCGGACATTGTGTGCAGTGGTAAACATTTGGGGTAAAAAAACATGTAGAGAGATTTTAGACTACATAAAAAATATTTTTTCTAAAGTAGCTTAACCCCCAGGAACTCTTTGCTTAATCAATTTAGTGATACTGAAAATTAACCAGAGCCTTTTTAAGCTTTTTTCTGTCAAGTTACATTAGCAGGAAAGAAGAAAATATGACTATAAAAAAGTGTAACCCACAGGGTGGGATTAATGGCGATTAATAGGAACTGTTCCAGGTTCAGACCAGCGCTTACAGCAGCTGATTGTGAATGAGAGCCGAGAGTGAAATGGTGATAGAAACAGACCAGGAGAAGTAAGGCCTTTGGAATTTGTATTATGCACTTAATTTACTGTAGAACAATGTTTGAACAGTGTTTCAGAGCAAACAGGAAGTCTTGTGCTGTTGTTCAATGGTCTTTCAACTCCAGACAGACGGAAGTAGTCACTCTGCTAATATTGCATATCAAAACAAGGCAACATGCAGGTGCTTTCTGCAGCCTGGGTTAGTGCGTTTTTTAAAAAAACCTTTCTCGAAGGGACTGAGGAGGATGAGGGCTAGGGTCCTAGTGATAGGCCAGTTGGTGAGGCAGTAGAATTGGGTTTATTTTAGTGTTGAAAAGCATCGATCCTCCTGGAGTTGTTACCTGCTGGACGTAAGGGCTTTCTCTCAGAGGCCCTGTTTCTTCAGCCTTGTGCGTGCTTTCCCCCTGGGGCAGCCGAGGCAGAGGTGATGGGGTAATGTATAGGAGGCCAGGGGAATCTCCAGACTAGTCCCAAGCAACGCCAGTGTATAATCCTGCTTCATCTGAGGGTTTCGGGGAGTGCTGGTTTGTAGGAGCCGTTTCATTTCTCTCCTCGGTTCTTGCTGGGCAGTGTTTTTCTGTAGCTCCCAGTGAGCAGCTTGTTACAAGAGAACGTCTAGACCCAGGCGGCACGCTTTGCACCCTGTTCGCAGCCCGAGTCTGGGTGTGAGTCCAGTCAGGCCCGGGCACTGACTTTCATGAGGCCGGTGAATCAGCCAGGGGAGGCATGAGTGGCTATCACTCTAGGACTATGGAGCAGGAGAACATTTAAGACGCGTTCTATACTAATTTTAAAAAAAGGCAATATGCAAAAGGGCATTTTCACGATGGAAAATAGTCAGTATTTAATTTAAAAACTAAGGAGTGAAATAAAAATAACTCCTCTGCTGCAGCCTAAGAGCCAGGCTGGTCACCTTGCTAATCTCCACACACAGTGTGGGTGCCCCTCCTCCTGGTGGTCACCCCTGGCAGGGGGACAGGTGTAGTAAGCACTCAGAAGGAGTCCTTTCTCTGCAGCACACAGAAACCCTCCGACAAGGGGCCCTGGAAGGCAGTATAGTGAGTGCTCCCCACCATGCGTCTGTGTGTGGGATCTTGTATTTGATGCGTGTTAATCAAGCAGCAGTAACGAACACTGTGCACACTTCTGTCCTGTTGCTGTGGCACAGGAAGCTGGAAGTAACAAGAAAACAAATCTGTCTCTGGTCTGTCCTTTGACAGCTTTGGTATCATTCATCCTTTGGCAGCTGCCAGAGATGGCTAAGGCAGGCAGATGTTCTGCTTTACAGTATGAAGGCTTTCAGAGGTTCTGGGTCCTGAGCTGAACAGCGCCCCCTGGGGAAGTGAAAGACGTTCTCGCCCCAGTCCCACGGGGCATTGCTGTGTGACGGAGCTGCCTGAAACAGCCAGTGCAAGGACTGCAAGGACAGCTCCCAGTGCGGTGGAGCCGCTCGGTGGACAGCGAGTTTATGCTCTGTGCTCCGTGTGTGTGTTGTTCCCAGTTGGGTTTGACGACTACGGCTCGGAGTGCGACGGGATCCGGATAACGGCGTTCCTGGATGCAGGGCAGGACAACCTCACGCCACTGGGCCGCCTGGAGAAGTACGCCTTCAGCGAGAACGTCTTCAACAGGTGAGGAGGGAGGACGGGTCTGTCCCTGGGTGCATTTCCATTTGCCATGATCTCAGTCAGAACCCTTTACAGGGGGCATGTGGTCTCAGATTTTACTAAGGAAAAACACACTGCTATTTATCCAGCTGCTCTGTACTGCCACAGAGCTACAGCTGTTCAGTGGTGTGCAACTGTGTTTGTCTGATTTGCATTTAAAACACCGAACTCCCCCCTAAAACCTTGTCTGATAAGTGCAGCGTTTTGGAGGACGCTGGGTTTTAAGTGGAATAGCTGAGAAGTACAAAAAAATTACACTGCGCAGTCACAACCTCAGCAGACTTAGGGCTGCAAAGACCCAGTCATATTGTTTCTTTTGGAAAACAAGAAGTATTGTTTAAAAACAAGAGGCTCTCTGATTCTTTCAGTGGCATTATTAAGCTGCTGGTGGGTCACTGGTATTTTTTTCTGGATGGGAGGACTGTGCTGGCGAACCGAGGAGAGTGCTGGCTGGTGATTGTGCCATGGGGCTGGGGACTCGGCTCTGGCGGCCTCAGCTGCCATGAAGGGTGCTGTATAATCGATGGCATGGTGCTCTGCGCTTTGCAGGCAGATCGTGGCCCGTGGCTTGCTGGACGTGCTGCGGGAGTTCAGCGACAATGAGAACGACTTCATCACCGTCATGGAAACAGTGGCCAGGATGTCTGAGGATGGAGGTAGAGGCTGGGCCTGCTGTTTACAACAATCAGAAACTTGGGATTTTTCATTTTCTGGGCACAAAATTACATTAATATGTTTAATGTCTTGCATTCTGATATTCTTAGTTATGAACAAAAAATAAAAACAGAGCTGTCTAGGTGTTTCTGAACTGAAGAGTACAAATACTACCTGAAATTACTACCTAAAACAATTAGAAGATTTGTATTCCAGAGCTGCTGTATCTGTGTTTGTGTGATAATAACCATCAATCAGCAATAACAGCAGGTCAGGAAAAATCCCTGAAGCCGGTAATTGCAATTGGCTTCTGAGCAAAGTATTAAATTGTTGTTTTTTTAGCCTCATCATCTGTTAACAGGTCACAGAAATATTTTGAAAAGCTCCTTACCACTGAGCCTCTTTCTGTTGCGCTCTGAGAAACTGGCACGGCAGATATTGGGCTGGTTGCAGTAGGCAGGACTGCTGTGGCTCGTTGGGCAGGGAGTGAGGTGCCCGTGTCTGTGCTGTGCCCTCAGAACCCACGGTGCGTGCTGAGCTCATGGAGCAGGTGCCCAACATCGCCATGTTCCTGCACGAGAGCCGGCCCAACTTCCCCGCGGCCTTCTCCAGGTACCTGGTGCCCATCGTGGTGCGGTACCTCACCGACCCCAACAACCAGGTAGGCACACCTGGGGCGCACCGGCGACAGACCCCGCCGGGCCCGTCGGCCTGCCTGAGCAGCAGTGAGACCTCCCGCCCTCCACAGGTGCGCAAGACGAGCCAGGCGGCGCTGCTGGTCCTGCTGGAGCAGGGGCTCCTCGGCAAGAGCGATGTGGAGAGCAGGGTGTGCCCCGTTCTGCTGGACCTCACCGCGCCCGGCAGCGACGACGACTACAAGATCGAGGCCGTGGCGGTGAGGACACACGGGACAGGAAACCCCTTGTCTAGTGAGCTGTACTCAGAAAAACGCCCATAGGGAAGGTTTTCCATATTTTAACTTCACATCTGTCTAGGCTAATTTTTCTGGCACTTAAGGCAATAGCATTAAACAGGCATCTGAAGGTGTTTTTTTATATGATGGGTCACAGCAAATGTCTTTGCTGTTCCTTATTTCCATTAATTTGTAAAAGTGGACTCACATGCACCACACCAAAGGGGTTTAGAGGCAAGTAGATGTTGCATAAATAATATGATGTTTTTTTATTCTTTCCTCTTTTACTGGTTAGTGGGTAATTAAAATTATGGGATGGCATGTTGGCTTGGCATTTTAGTGCTGCTGCCTCGCACCTCCCAGAGCACTGTCTGGGGCTCTGTCTGTGTGGAGTTTGCACGTTATCGCCTCCCAGAGGTGTGCCGGCTAGGTTAACTGTGCATCCCGTCCAGGGGGCTCGGGGAGAGGCTGCGGTCGGGGGCCCGGCGGGCGGCGGTACCGCTCCGCTGTCTGGCGCCTGGGCTCCCTCTCCCGGCCCCACTAACGCTGCGCTGTTGCCGTGCAGATCATGTGCAAGCTCGTCGCCGTGCTCGGCGCGGACACCGTGGAGCGCCTCCTGCTGCCCCGCTTCTGCGAGCTCTGCGGCGACGCGCGGCTCTTCCAGGTCCGCAAGGTAGGAGCCCGCGGGGGCGCGATCGAGAGCAGGACCGGTCCCCCGGACAGGCTCGTCCGACACATGGCTGGTCGATGGCTTCGTCTCCTTTAGGCTCGTTGTCTGACAGTTGAGGGAATAGCACGAAACAAAGAATTTGAAGGAGTTTTTTATGTATGGGGTTGCAGTACCTTGCTGTACCTTGTTTCCATTACTATGTACCATACCAAAGGGATTTAGGGGCAAATAGATATTGCATAAATGTTGTTGTTTTATGTATAGATCGTCCTTTCTTTCCCCACGCGCCCCAAGTAAACTAGGGGGTGTGCTTGGCTGGGTGACCGCGCACCTGGTCTGATCAGACCTGAGAGGGCAGGGCTAGGGTCCCTGCTGGGTTTAACTGCTGTTCTCTGCTGACTCACAGGTGTGCGCTGCTAATTTTGGGGAGCTCTGCTCCATTGTGGGGCAGGAGGCCACGGAGAAGCTGCTGGTGAGTACGGGGGAAGGGGAGCTGGAGTTTCGTGTCGCGAGCGGGCCGAGGCCGTCGTGAGTAGAACGCCCTGGCAGTGTCTTTGGCCGTATCCCAGTCCTCGCACTGCGCCCTAAGCCCTCCTCCAAGTCCGCACTTCTGTGACGCGGCGCAAGTGTGGATTGGAGGAGCGTCGTTACGCACGGGGCAGTGGGACACCCTCCCGTGACGTCACTCGCTGGTCACTCGGCTCAGGGTGAAAACGTTGTCTGTTGTTGGTGCTTCCTTCCCAGTGGCTAAGTGCATGTTGGCCGGTATTTTTAAAAATGATTTTCATTCTCCGTTTGATGAAACTGAATTTCCTGCGCGAAGGTGTTCCTGCATGTTGAGCTGGCTCGACTCAAAACGGGTGGAGTCATCTTAGGAAAACTTGGCAGTATTGCTGTTCATTCAAAGCTTTGTACTACTAAATACATTTCACATCATCTGTCTCAGTACAAAAATGACACTACAAGGAACATGACGTGTTCATTCATGTTCATTCGGTGTAACCTCAATAAGGTAAACTTGGTGATACCTCAGAGCTTTGTGTTATTAAATATTCTGTGTGGATATTGCAGCGCAAGTGTGGGTATGGGGCGACGGCCTCTGTGTGTGCAGGCGCTCATGTGCGTGGCTGGCGTGTTTCCAGATGCCGCGGTTCTTCGACCTGTGCTCGGACAGCCTGTGGGGGATCCGCAAGGCCTGCGCCGAGTGCTTCATGGCGGTGTCCAGCTCCACGTCGCCCGAGGTGCGGCGGACACAGCTGTCCCCGCTCTTCATCAGCCTCATCAGCGACCAGTCCCGCTGGGTGAGACGCCGAGAGCAGCGGGGGGTGGGGGGGTGCAGCACTCTGCATGATGGGCCGCGTCTTGACGGGAGCGCTGTGCTGTGTGCTCTCACACTGTTGTGATGGGAGCGCTGTGCTGTGTGCTCTCACACTGTTGTGATGGGAGCGCTGTGCTGTGTGCT